CTCCTGCCGGACAGGCCAGGCCTGTGCTTCCTTGGCCCCAAGGAGCTTGGCAGCCAGAAGGCCCAGAGCCACGGAAAGCAGGTGGCATGAGGCGTGGCTTGCGCTTCGCTGTCGAGCTGCCCAGCTCCCCGAGCACTCTTCCCTACGACCCTGAACTTGGTCCCTCGGGGCTACAAGGATGTGCAGCCTGCGGTTTAGCTTTTCTGAGAGGTTTGAATGACTAGATTTTAGAAAGTCCAGTTCTTCACTGGGCTGGGGAAAGAGGCGCTGGCAGAGAAAAGGATGGGAAAGATGTTCCTGCCTTTCTTGTCTCCATTCAGAGGGCCTGCCCCCACCCCCCGTCACTGTTTGGATGTGCTTGCTCACTCTGCCCCTCCCTGGATGTGTGTTTGACTCTTCAGTCCCTGTTAGTACAGGCCAGTTTGTTATTCCATGAACCCTTAAAAGCCACCTGCAGTCCTTCCCGAAACAGGATGGGAGGAAATAAACAAGAAAACAAACCACTACACAACACGCCCTGACCTGACCGACACGCTTAAGAAATTACACCACCAGCGACCTTGGAGAAAGCTAAGGTTTCATTTAAGCTCCATCTTGTTAGGTGAGAGGTGAGGATCTTTTTTTTCTATTTAATTAGAAACAAAATATCACAGAAAACCCCAAATAAAAAGGATCAACAACAAAAACAACCCCAAACTAAAAAACATTTAACAAAACAATCCACTGTTCCCAATGTGGAGAATTTAATAAAAATCTGGGCAGGAGAAATTAAAAAGAGTCTCAGAATGTATTTTTTAAAAATCAGTTATTTCCGCCCCCCTCCACCCACCAGACCTTTCCCTTAACTGAGCGCCATGTTTGTGGAAACCGTGACTTGATGCTGTCAGGTCTGCGAGTGACCTTACCGTCTTTCCTTTCACCCACTCGGTGGCCAGCGAGCTGGAGGCGATTGCGGAGCCACAGCCAAATGTTTTAAACCTGGCGTCCACGATCTTCCCCTCCTCATCCACCTGGATCTGGAAGAGATGGGGTGGGGCTGTCTGTAGAAGTGGCACTCACAGGGCTTCACGGGCTCTTCCCGAGACCGCGGTCTTGTTTCCACTTGAAGTTCTGGCGCTAATGACGATGTTTCCTGAGTTTGCTTTGTTCCGAGGAGCTCAGGGATAAGAGTTAAATATACACAATAGCATAGGACTGCGGTACAGATTAGCTAAATAATACGCCCCTTTGAAGTTTTGTTTTGTAACCCTCGCCTGCGTTTTGGCTATGAAGCTCTGCTCATGGCTGCTGTGTCAATCTGCCCTGGAAACGCTGGGGGAGCCTACGCTCACGGTCTCTAGTTAATGCTTTTTTCTTGGACACCAAACCATGCAGTGGTCCCGCCCTGCCCTGTTGCTGTTTTCTAAGACAGGCAGGCAGGCTCTGGCACGCTGCCCTCCCTCCATGAGGAAGCAGATTGTGAATAAAGCTTCGGTTTACCCAGCCTTCCTGTTGCCTTCAGTTTGGGGGAGGTCTGATTTATTGGATTTCTTATCTCACAGGGGATGGCTAGCTCAACGGCTGTGGTTTTCCTTTGGTAAAACTCACAGAACCTTTTACTTAACTGACGCTGGAAATGAAGCTGATTCAGTGAGAACAGGGTGATCGGTTTACTGTATCGGAAAGGGTCAGCACAGTGCACCAGCAGGAGCGCTAGGACAGGCTCATCCTGCCTCACAGGAGTCCAAATGGAGACCAAAGGGGATGGTGTATGCAAGTGCTCTGTGAACTACGAAGCACTGTAGGCCAAGAGATTCCCATTCCCGTTCCAGATGAAAACCAGCTGTACCTGTAATTTCATCACATCGCCACACGCTGGAGCCCCCACCAGTCCAGTCCCGACATTTTTGGATGTCTTGTCAAGAGACCCCACGTTTCTGGGATTTTCATAATGATCGACAACCTGAAATGAGAGTCAAGACAAATCACGATCACCCTTTTTGGTCTCGACTTGATGGTAAGCGCCAAGCCAGCAACCTGAACTTGGCAGGCAGTCACCAAATGCCAAATTTTACCCGGGTGGGAAGGCTCACGCTCAGGGCAATGAGAACCGTTTGTGACCCAAAGTCTTTTTGCGTCTCCTTTCCAACGACCTTAAGGGACTTGTGATACTGGAGGAAAATCATGTCATAGTTCCAGAGGCTTTTTAACCACCTATAACCATCGGACCTCGACCCACCTAGATGGCCAGGTTTGGGCTCAAATGGCATTTTTGTTATTTCCAAATACAGCCTCTTCTCAAAGGACAATAACGATTCAACAATTCTAAAAGTGACTATGAGCCATAAATTGAAGGCTTTCCCAGAAGCCTCGAGGAGACTGTTACAGGAAAACGATGCTATGAAACGTGTCCAAGTGGGTACGACGATAAAAATCAGGTCCCATCACGATTTCAGGGCCCTGAGGCCTCCCCGGTGCAGCAGCGCACCCCGGCGGCCAGGAGGCTGCCAGCCCGAGTCCCTTGGGCGGGCACTGTCCACAAAACACACCCCTGGGTGGGGGAGGAGCCAAGTCCCGGGCGACGAGCTGAAGCCAGGAGAGAATAAATGTCTATTCAAACCGGCACACGGAAGGCTCGAATAACCTTGAGGTTTTTTGTTTGTTTGTTTTTTTACCAGTTAGCCCAAGTGTGCCGATCGTCCGGCCCCCCTCCCCCCACCGTTCCGACCAGGATGCCAACTCCAAGCCCAAGGACCTACAAGGTAACATCCAATCGGTACTGTTTGCCCCCATGGTGAGTCACCACCTTCTTCGGTTGGTTGTGTCACAGTCTCCCGTCCAAGGGCCTTGACACGCCCCCCCCGCCAAGGGCTGCAAATCACACACCCATCCCTATGCCCCGCCCCAAACAAAACACGAAAATAAACACGACTGCGTACTGGCTCCGCTCGGGGGCTCTGAGCTCCTACAACATAGCGGCACCTGGAAGGTCTCTCTGTGCCAGGCACCCTGCCGAGGCTGCCACAGCACCCCCCTGTGTAGGGGCTGCTCAGAGACCCCCTTTCCAAATGGGGAGCAGGCTCGGAGAAGGACAGCGCCTTCCCCGAGGTCACTTGGCCGGGGCAGTGGTCCAGGCGTCAGGCCGGCAGGTCCTGACAGGACCCTCCTTCCCGGGCTCTTAGGACGTTCAGGGGCTGGGATGCAGGGCGTCGCGGCCAGCGGCAGGGCCCACGGACAGTTATTTTTATTTCGTGCGCGGTCAGCGTCACTGCGCAGCGAGGCGAGTGGAGGCAGTGTCACGCGATCCCTCCATCCAGGGCCGGGCGCCATCCCCACCCCGGGCCACGGTGGGGGCTCCCCAAGCAGCGCAGAGTCCCGCGGCCACTCCTCCCTAGGCTGGGCCTCTGTCCGGCACCGGCACCGGCCCGTCCCCTCCGACGGTCCTCGTCCTCCCGCCCCGGTCTCTGCGGACCCCGCGCATCCCCTTGTTAAGCCCTACCTTCTTGTGATAGAGCCGGGCGGGGGCTGACAGCTCCCGGGGCGGCAGGCGCGGGGTCCGGAGCAGCAGGACTGACGCAGCCCGCCGCAGACGACCCGCTCCAGTCGCCGCCATCTTCCGATTTGCGCCTGCGTAGGCCGAGCGCGAGGCCGAGGGGAGGGGCGCGTCTGCACGACGTCACCGCGGTTGCGTGCCCACGCCCTCACGCTCCGGGCACGTGTCGCGCACGTGTCCGCGCTGGGACCACGCCCCTCCGGGGGGCGGGGCGCGGAGCGGGGAGGTCTGAGGGGCAGGAGGGCTGGTCTTGGGTGCTGGGCTCTGGGTGTAAGAGGACCTCGGGCTGGAGTGCGGGACTCACGTTTACGTCCGCCGAGCCCACCGCCCGAATTCGGCGCGGAGGGCCAGCCCGTCCATCTTTCTCAACCCCAACGTGCAGCCGAGGGCTTGTCGGTTCCGAGCGGCTTAGTGACTTACCCAGGGTTGCTCAGGAGTTAGCTGCACTTGGGATTCGGATTCGGACAATCTGCGTTAGAATCCCGGTGTTGCTCCTTCCTGGTTGAGTGACCCTAGGCAAATGACATTAGCTCCCTAAGCCTCGATCTTTGTAATATGTAATTCAAGGACGATTTTTTCATTCATTCAAGTACGTGTGAAATACCTACTATGCATCAAGACGCTATACCAGGCTTTGGGAATCTAACGGAAAGAAAACCAGACATAATTCCTGCCTCATTAAACTTACCGGGGAAGGAGAAAGGCAATAAATAAACGCACCAATACTCCCCTACCTCAAAATGGGAGGCTTAATTAAGAAGGAAACGGACACCCTGTCCTGATTTTTAAAAAATGTATATGTCTATATTTGTTATCTATTTCTGTACAAACAACAGTAAACTTATATGACAATATCTGGCAATTGAGAGTTCCTAATTAAATGCCTAGTAATGTAATTTATTAATGTTGGTGTGCAGAATAAGATCTTATAAAATGAGAAAACTCACGTGTGCCTTTAACGCCTACTAAGCATCAGGCATTACATAAAGGGTGAAGAATCTTTTTGGGAAATGTGTTTTTCTCATGAATGGTGCAATCGATCCCTGAAAACTTGGGGTTTTCTCTGCGTTTGCGGGTCAGCTGGCGGGGATATTTGAACCAAGCGCCAGGACACACTAGACTAGGCAGTAAGGTATTTATTCCCAGTCATTTTGACCTTCTCCAGATGGCGCCAAACCCTTAACTAAGTCATCACACTCGCTCCCGGGCTTCCGATAATGGCCCCACTTCCTGTCCAAGGACCCTATTCTGTCCGAAGTGAGACGGAACACATGCCGAGTTACGGAGATGGTTGTTTTTCTCAAGAGAACTTTCACAGGTGTATAAAAATAACATGATTTGCGTGTATTTAGAGATTTTCCCCCTCACCTGAGGCTCACATTTCCCTTTCAGGCGGCAAGACAGCGAGGTTTTTGATCAGGCGCGCGCCGCGGATAGCCTCTACCTCCAGGGGTCTTAGGCGGCCCGGGGCAGACCCGGGAGTCGCTGGAAGCGCAAGATGGCGACGGCGGCCGCAGCGTCGGCTTCGGAACCGGAGACCGATCCCAAGGCGGGGCCCGAGGCTGAGGGCGAGGAGGACGAGGCGAAGGCGGACAGGACGAGGAGGAAAGTGTTAACGCGCGCCGTGGCCACTGCGGCCTGCAAGGCCATGGGGCCAGCGTGGGACGAGCAGCGGGAGGAAGGCGTGAGTGAGAGCGATGGAGACGAGGAGTTCGCCATGGCCTCCTCGGCGGAGAGCTCCCCCGGCGAGGACGAGTGGGAGTACGACGAAGAGGAGGAGAAGAACCAGCTGGAGATTGAACGGCTGGAGGAGCAGGTGCGTCCGGGGGTGGGCGGCGGGGTCCCCCTCTCCCCCAGGTTCCCGGGCCTGACCCTCCTCCTCCCGGGTCCGGAGCGGTAATGAAGCCGACGGCCGGAGCAGCAAACCCGCTATTCACCCGCAGCTCGAAGCGTTGGGGGCGCTTGCCTGGGGCTGTGCGGGCGTAATCCCATGGCAGCCTCGCCACGACCCAGGGAGGCGGTAGTGTGTCTGTCCCCCGTTTTACCGAGGAAACGGAAGCTCTCCGTGGAGGGACTTCTCCGGCGCGAGGCTACACTTCCGCTCAGCTACGCCCCGAGCGGAAACACCGCTCCCCTCGCCAGGAGGGGTTTCCCTGTAGGAACGAACGGAGATGCGGGACCACGGGGTAGGAAAGGCGGTATCGACCTTGAGGATGGTCGTAGGAATGGAAAGGTAGGGGTTTCGGCGTCCGGAGGCTGAGGCCCCGGCTGTGTGTGCTTGGCCGAGTTTTTTTTAATTTATTTTTTTATTGATTTTTTACAGAGAAGAAGGGAGAGGGAAGGGAGAGGGATAGAGAGTCAGAAACATCGACGAGAGCGAAACATCCATCAGCTGCCTCCTGCACACCCCCCACTGGGGATGTGACTGCAACCAGGGTACATGCCCTTGACCGGAATCGAACCCGGGACCCTTCAGTCCGCAGGCCGACGCTCTATCCACTGAGCCAAACCGGCTAGGGCTTGGCCGGGTTTCTTCGCGTCTTTGAGCCTCAGCTGCCTCGTCTGTAAATTGGGAGCAACACTTGCGCGTCGTGTAGTTGCGATGGTGGCAATGACCGTCAGCTGCCCGGCGCCTCGTAGTAACCGGATCTCTATCTAACCCAGTGGTTCTCAACCTTGGCTGCACATTAGAATCACCTGGGAATCTTGTTAAAATCCTGATTTCTGGGCCTCATCCTCCGGAAATTCTGTTTCTTTGTTACTAATGATGAGGCCCAGAAATCAGGGTTTTTTAAAAATATATATTTTATTGATTTTTTTTTTTTTACAGAGAGGAAGGAGAGGGATAGTGAGTTAGAAACATTGATCAGCTGCCTCCTGCACACCTCCCACTGGGGATGTGCCCGCAGCCAAGGTACATGCCCTTGACCAGAATCGAACCTGGGATCCTTCAGTCTGCAGGCCAGTGCTCTATCCACTGAGCCAAACCAGTTAGGGCAAGAAATCAGGATTTTAACAAGATTCCCAAGTGATTCTAATGTGCAGCCAAGGTTGAGAACCACTGATCTAACCTGTTAACTCCGGTATCGCCCGGGGTCCCAGCAGGAGATGTAAGTTACGATAATTTTCGTTAAGGTTAATAGAGGGAGGGACTAGTGTGTGTTTGTGAAGGTGGGCAGGGAAATGGGGAGGGGAGGTTAGCATCCCAGGGCTGGTCACAGCAGGACCTGTGTCCATCTCCCGGCCTGAAGAGGGGAGGGGGGACCGGTATTTTGAAAGGTGTGGATAGGGCGCCCGAGGAGCCAAGGCCTTTGGTCAAGGGGTGCAGCCCCGGTTTCCAATCAGGGGGTCGGGGTGGGAGGAGGCATACCATGGCCTCCCTCTCTTCCTCGCTCCAAGCATCTGCTGGTGGGTGCTGCTGGGCAAACCCTGCTGGAGGAGAGAACCAGAGACCCATCTATGTGGTCCACAGGGTGTGTGTGTGTGTGTGTGTGTGTGTGCGCGCGCGCGCGCGCGCCGTGAATTTGAGCACATTCTTTCTCACGTGCAAGTTATTTCAGTCTCAGAGCCTATGGCGTCCCAGTTGGTAAAATGAGGGTTGTTGTAGTGTCACCCCCCCTCCCCCTACCCACATACACATATGCAGGGCTGTTGTGGACCTTAAGTGACAGTGTGTGTAAAACTGCTGGCAGAGTTTGACACATAGTAGGTGCCATGCAAGGCCTCCTTTCTCCTTTCCCTGCCTTTCCCGTGGGTAGCATGTGTCCTTTCACAGGCCTCTGTTATCCCCCCCCCCCCCCCTCCAGTTTGCGTCATTAGGGAGTTAGGAAATCGGTTAGATCAGTCTGTGCAGTGGCTAAGCCGCCTCCTTGTTTAGAGCTTCCTTTGTTGTGCATGAAGTTCTGGGATGGGAATAGACCAGCGTGTGTACTCACTTGTCAGTGCTGAGTGAGCTCTGTGAAAATGTCTCATAAATGCATCTCAGCTTGCATTTCATGTACAGCCTTTCAGAGCATCTCCTATATATGCTATCGTCCTTTGGGCTAGACATCAGAAATTTAGACCAAAAATCACCCTAGAGGCAGTTCCTCTACGTCATGACTTTTACACCTTTTTCTTCTGAATTACACGTGGTACTCTGAGGGACGTTTGCACAGGCCTTCCTCACACTAACCGGTAAGGGCGCTCCCACCTCTCCATGCTCGGAAAACACAGTCAAACCAGGGAAGCTGTGAGTCGGTGGGGGACGGGGAGAGCCTAGGTCGTTCTTTAATGAGGAAAGCACATCTTTCACAAACTTAACTTTCTAAACTCTTGTTACTCCTGTGCCACACTTGACAGTCAGTTTGGAAGCGTCAGTGTGTGGTGACAGCCACTCGAGCTCATCCTGGTGCAGGTGAGGACACAGAACCAGGGGAGACGAGAGCGTGTGTGTCCTGGCCTCGTCCAGCCCTTTCGAACCATCACATAATCATGGATGGGTTCAGCTTGTCAAGCTTTATAAATCACGTGTAAGAGAACCTTGCTACGAGTCTTTTAAGGTTTTTGAAAGAATCAGGTCATATTCTTATCTGTTATTGATTCTTCTTTATCTTTTTTATGTGAATTGATACATACACAGTTCACATCTGTAAATTAGAAAGTATGTAATCAAATGAACACCACTGACCCATCGCTCGTCTGCGGGTTAGAGCTGCATGGGTACTGCTGCATGTGTCTGGGGCGCCTCCCCATCCCAGTCCTGCCTTGCCCCTTCTCCCGTGCCCCCTCCTAAAACCCAGTAACTACGTTCTTGAATCTTGTGTTTCCTTCTATTGGCAAACATACGGTTTTATCACTCAGGTATGCGTCCTTAAGCAATGTGTTGTCCACTTCTGTTTGTTTTTGAGCTTTTAAAAAAGTACGTCATGTTATACATAATCTTCTGGGACTGCTTTCCACCCAGCAGTGGGTTTCTAAGGTTCATCCATGTTACTTGTCATTGCAGTTTATTCATTTTGACAACTGCTTGATCAGTTCTAGCATTTGGATTGCTATAGTAGCCCCCCCCCCCCCCCCATTACAAACAGGCTACAACAAAACATTGTTTCTGTTGAACTGTGCTACCATTGAACATGTGTAAGAGTTTCTCTGCATTGGTGTTTTTCCGATTTATCTATTTTTTTGCATCGGTGTTTTTCAAACTGGGGTCATGGCCATGGGTCATGAATTCAGTTTGACTTTCCTGGTATTTATGTTTTACCACTGAGTGAGGTGTGGCAATCTTCATTTATGCCCCTTTGCATCCCTGCTTTTTAAATATCATTGTTTTGGGTTTCAGATAGTCTTACTAGTAAAACATTTGCTATCACATACAATTTAGAAAACACATAAGGAGAAGGATAACTTACATAGGGTGTCCCAAAATTACGCAAGAAGTAATTTTGAAAGAAAACACAGATTTATAATTAAAAATTGTAAATTTTTTATTGATTCATAAAGTATACAGTATAGGGTTATGTATGGAATAGGGTTATGTATGGAATAGCACATCGGGTAAATGGCCTCCACGGCTTTGCTGGCACATTGTCCCTGCTCCTGGGCCATAATTGGTACTTGGTAATGCTTATCAAATTGAAGGGATTGAAATCAAAGGGCAACAGATATTAGAATCTGATTCAATAAACCAAGTAAAATTAGGCTTTTATTTTTTGTTGTTGTTGTTAATGCTCACGCAAAATTCAAATCTTGCGTGAATTTTGGGACACCCTATACTTACCCACTTTTCTGCTCTTTCTTGTTGTTCTTTCTCCTTGATGCCAAGATTTCTTTAATCATCTCCTTCCTCTTTGAAGAACTTCCTTTAGCTATTCTTTAAGAGTGTAAGTCAGATAGTAACACATTTTTATAGTTTCCTTTTGTCTCAGATGTATGATAGCTTTTTAAGCACTTACTTTAATTTATTGTTTAAATTTTTAGTTTGAAAAGTGTCAGGTATAGAAATAGACCTTTATGTGCTTATCACTCAGCTTCAGAAGATATCAATCTGTTGTCATTCTTAATTCTACCAATAGGGATCTTTTTATTTATTTAGTAGAAGAAAAGAGCTATTACCTATGTACCTGGCATATGCTAAAGCACGGTACTAAATTATGTTTAAAATCCTCACAGGAACCTTATGAGTCAGAAAACATAAAGGTGAGGAAATGGAGGCTTAGGACAGTTAATAACGAGCCTAAGGCCACACTATTACTTATTTGTTTCGTTAGAATGTTTCCTGTATTTCAGAGAGAACCAAGTGTGTGCTGACGGGAATTGTGATGGACTTGAGGGAACTTTATGGTTATTATAAAAAGCCTCTTGTATTGATCTTTTTTCTTCCTTTTCCTGAGGATAAAGGTTTCATTTCTGTTTCAGAGGCTCTCCCAGGTAGCACATTTATTTTGTTTGTGACAGACGTGTGCATTGTCACCAATGGTAAAAAAAAAAGCTAAGTTATTTTGATGATGGCATTTTAATTTCACCGGCTGTTTCTTTTCCTTTTAGCTGTCTATCAACGTCTATGACTACAACTGCCACGTGGACCTGATCCGGCTGCTGCGGCTGGAAGGGGAGCTCACCAAAGTGAGGGTGGCCCGCCAGAAGATGAGTGAGATCTTCCCTTTGACAGAAGGTAACTCCTCACCAGCAGGGCTGCTTTTATAGACCCCGAATTTGCAAACCATGAAGTGCCCAACAGCTGTAGAATATTATGATTTTAGTGATTTGATCTTATCTGGGGCCATAAACTTCTGTGCTTGGTGCAGGCTTTAAGAATTGAGTTTTTGTGACCTGTGCCAGGTTGTGTAAGATGATGAAACGCTTGCTTGCTGATGACTCGCACTACATTGCTGCTTTCAGACCGCCCTCTGGGGAGGGAGGTGGTAACGCAGGCTGTTGTCTTGTAGAGCTCTGGCTGGAGTGGCTGCACGACGAGATCAGCATGGCCCTGGACAGCCTGGACCGAGAGCACGTGTACGACCTCTTTGAGAAAGCCGTGAAGGATTACATATGTAAGTCCCCGCGGGCGTTTTCCAGGGCGCCCGGCAGTGTCACCTGCATCAGTCTCTGCTGTCTAGATTGTGTTGTGAGATGCAGCTGCCCAGAAGACAGCATTCGTCTAGCAATTAGGAAGATTGAGTTCAGCTATTGTTACTTTCTATGGTTTTCAGTTGAAGATATTTGGTTTTAAGACATAGGCATATCTCACTGTATTGCACTTAGCTTTATCACACATCACAGATGCTATTTTTCCTTTTTTGTTACAATTTGAAAGTTTGTGGTAACCCTGTGTTGAACAAATGTATCAGCACCATTTTCACCAACAGTCTCAGATGAGAGTTAGCATTTTTTAACAAAGTTTTTAAAAATTAAGGTATGTATATTTTTAAAGACATACTCTATTGCACACTTAATAGACTACATTATAGTATAAACATAACTTTTATATGTACTGGGAAACAAAAATTTGTGAGATTGGCTTTATTTTGATATTTGCTTCATGCGGGGGCGGGGGGGGGGGGGCTGGGCTGGAACTGAACCTGCAATATCTGAGGTTCATTTAAGTGGATGAATATACTCACACCCAGCACTTACTGGCAGGAAGAATTTACATGGTAGTTCCAGATGACTAAAGGTCACCTTTTACACATTGAATAGATTTTTAGAAATTTTGGACAGAATTTTTATTTTTCATATTAAAAACCTTAAAACTTCTTTTTGAAATAATTCTGTATTTATAGGAAATTGCAAAAGAAGCACAGAGAAGTCCTATGTACTTATTTCGTCCAGTTTCCCCCAGTATTTTATAACAATAGTATAGAATCAAAACCAGGAAGTTGACCTTGGTGCAGTGCGTGTGTGTCGTTCTGTAGATGTTATCCGTGTAGCTTCCGGTGGCCACCACTGCGCTGGAGGTACAGACCCTCCCCCGCCACAGAGCCCCCGGTCTCCTGGTGCTGACCGTTCAGCAGTGCAAGTGAAGGTGGATGCCTGACTTCCCCTTAAGTCCCTTCAGCCTCCCCTGTTGATGGTTAATTCTCTAAATATCGTCTCTACATACATTGGGGAGCACATCAGTGCTGTGGACAAAACGCTTTAAAAAGCATTAAAAATCCCCCCCCCCCCCTTTTTAATTAAGCCCTTCTTCCCCATCTGATTTTCCTCAGTCTTCACTCTGGGCCATTTTCCCTTGAGAGCAGTGTCAGCACTTAGTAGGTAGACTGCCTGGAGGGAGAGGATTTTTCGTGTACCTTTACCAGCCCAGAATATAAACTTTTTTACTTTTTATAATTCAAATAATGAAAATAATAGGTGTTTGGTGAATATAAAATTATACTGAATGTGCCTTTAAAAGCTATCCCGTGTCTTTGCTCAGATGGTGCCGGCCCTGTGGCCTCTTAGAATCTCTGAGTTCCAAATGCATGATGTACCTTGTTTTCTGCGGGCCCTGTTACCCCCTTCTTAAAGTCTCAGAGTCATTAACAGCACCAGCCCTATCTCTGCAAGGATCTTTTGTCCTTCCCAGGCCACCCATTATGGTTCTCGGTCCCTTAGGGTTTGCAGTCCTCCCTGCCCTCAGTCCTCCGCTGTCACTTAGTGCTGATGACAGCTGCCTGCCCTTCCACCAGCTGCTCCCGGGCTGCTGTGGGTCAGGGACCAGGTAACCCGCTCCTTAGAGGATGTCTCACAAGTCGTTTTGAATGGGACCCCCAGGGGACGTTGTGTTATTTTCGGGAGCTTTAGTGTGTGCATATTGCCACTTGTTTTGAATGTTCAGAAGCCACTTTGCCTGCTTTTTATTTTGTTGTCCTTTTTATTTATTTTTTCTATTCTTTGTATTTTAGTATTTTCGTTTTTAACTTTTTTTTCATATTTGAAGATGCCAAGGATGGCCCCAGTAGTGATTCCTGGGGGTGGTTGATGCTCCAGTAGTCGGAGATGGCTCGGCCCTTTGGCTCCTCAGAGGTTTTGAGAACCGGGTTCCTTGGTCTTGGAGGAGCCTTGTGCGGAGGCTTCATGCCTGTTCTGAACTTGGGATCTAGTGACACCTTCTTTTGTTTGTCTCTCAGAGTCACTGTGAGCTCGGTACCTTTGGGTTTTCTGAGTTAAAATGCCGTTTCTAATATTTGCCCCTGTCTAGATTAAGTGTTGAGAGGGGCTATGATGTAATCTGTTGAAAATTACCTTCTCTTAGAGGAGGAACCGCTTCACAGACCATCTGTAAACTTGACCTCCCCTCACTCAGGCCTTCACCTCCAAGAGCTGGCTCATTTCCATTTTTTTTTTTTTTTGCAGCCCATCTGGCAGCTCCTTATTGGTGCACGAAACAAAGTGGCTAAAGCTTTGGCTAAGTTCTTGAAAAAACCTGCCTCAGGAAAACATGGTCATCCTCAAATTGGCTTCTGTATCTTTCTAGTATTTTTATTTTACAAAGTTAGTGTATAGGCTTCTGAAATTATTTTCAGGTCTTTGAAAAGTACAGGCAAACCGTGTACAGTAAGAATTGATGCATTCATAAAGATCTTAATTCATTGGTCTGGTCTTAAAGTTGTGGGAGTGAGTAGATAAAAATTTAAAAAGAGTGAAAGGAACAAAGCAACCAAGCCTTTTTTTGTCGTCATTGTTTAAAAGCCATTAAAAACAGAGATTTTAAAATACAGATTTCTATTAACAGTATTGGTGCTTTTAATGTTTTTCATTTTGAAAAATTCTAGGCTTTGAAATCTTTCTGAAGATTGACTCAGATTCTTAACTATTTTCATTGAAATCTATCACTGAGTTTCTTCAGTTTTAATACATAAGCTTTATGATCATGGTCTTTTTACATATTACCTCTTGGCATATACTGTTTATTCAGCAACATCTCAATGAATATACCTGCTAGGAACATTGTTTAGGTATACTTTTTAGCCTGCAGCATTAGTGTAGGTGAATTGGGATGCATATTGATGATGCTCTTACCTTTTTGCATGAATGAGTACTTTTTTGGTGGGCACATTTCTTTTGTTATGCCTCATTTTGATATTTGGGTGTCTCATGTTGTGAACTAACAGAACTCTCCTCATTTTTAGGTCCAAACATTTGGCTAGAGTATGGCCAGTACTCAGTCGGTGGGATTGGTCAGAAAGGTGGCCTGGAGAAAGTCCGCTCTGTGTTTGAAAGGGCTCTCTCGTCTGTCGGTTTACATATGACCAAAGGACTGGCCATCTGGGAGGCTTACCGGGAGTTCGAAAATGCGATTGTGGAAGCTGCCCGGGTGAGTTCCCCGCCTCCCTGACCAGTGCTTGCCTTTGAATAGTCAGCTGTCTCTGTAAGTGCTCTTGGAAGGACATAGTTAATAAAATGGTCCTCGCCAACTCCCTAGTGTACGGGCAGGTAAATACATGAAATAAAAAGTCTTTTAGACTAGCAAGAATAATTTCTTACACATAACCCTACAATTTGTTCTCAATACTTAAAAATAGTACTGCTTTAGTTACTGGTTCCAGAATAAAATACAAAAATAACCATGTCACTACCCCATCCCCACCCCCTCCCCCCAAAAATGTCCCGTAGTAACTGAGAGATTTGACCCCATCAGAATTGCAATTTTTAGACTACAACTTACAGAATTTTACTGCCCCTCTCCACTGTGTTTGTGTGGGTGCACACAGTTATTGATACACAGTGAAGCCCTCTAATGGTTAGGTTGTTACTGTTAAAGTAGCCCAGTTCATTCTTGAATTATGTCCCTGTTGAAAAATCGGCAGTGCTGCCTTCATCTTTACCAAGCATTACCTCGTGTAAGAGGTCATAATTTTTTTTTTTTTTAGTTTGAACTAAAAATGTGTTGAAATTTTTTTTTATGAAATAATTTTGAGGTAGGAAGGACCAAAGTTTGTCATTTACTACAAATTTACTTCTTTAGCCCATGGCTGGCTTCCTTTCCCCTTTTGACTGGGAACAAACCTTTGATTCACAGCTGGAGAAAGTGCACAGTCTCTTCCGGCGACAGTTGGCAATCCCACTCTACGGTAAGACAAGAGCCAGCCCTTCGTGGTTTTTAAAATGCTTTGGGGTATGTCATGTGATTCGGCCTTTCCCAGCATCCCATGAGGCAAATGTGGCTGGTGTCCTTACTCTCACTGGACAGCGTGACTGTGGACGAGTCCCTTGGTAAAAATGTATCTTGAATTATTAATGCTCAAGTTAGTTATGAGGGTCAGAGGCAGGAAGTCCCAGTCGTGTGGACATTGTTGGAGAGGCACAGTGGGGGCGGGGGGGGGGGGTCTCTGAAAGGAATAGGGAAACTGACTCCCTGCGTTTTCTGGGGAAGCTGGATTGAATCAGAGTTCCATTCGGAGCATTTCCTCTTGAGGAGTACCCTCTTCCACGACCTGGGGAGTTTACGTGGGCCTGGACCATTCCTCGGTGGGTGATCTGGTTCAGGAGCACCATGGGTCACAAATATTCATACCTGAATTTCCTGGGGTTTGGTAAGGATTCTCCTTTTTTGGGGAATATATTTTGGAAAGCCACGCCTTTGAGGTTCTGGAGCTGGAGCATGAGCAGCACTGGGAGGATTTTTCTGAGCATGGGAAGAGTTTGGTGCTGCCATCTTGTTTGTTCCCTAGACCTGGTGTACTGTGCACCCTCAGAACCTCTGGATAACTTCACTTGAGCCCAGAAGTTATTTCTCATTTTACTTCATAGCTTACTTGGATTTCATTTAACAAATTATAGAGTGTCTCTCCAGTTGAATCTTTGGGTGACATGCAGAAAAGGCTAGAATGGAACTGGCTTGTAGATTCCATCTCATCCCAGTTTGAGGCAGCATAGCATAGTGAGTAGCGTTCAAACCCTTGCTCTGTCGTTTCCTGTGGACAGTGCAAAATGGGGATCACAGTAGAACCCACCTCATAGAGTTGTGAGGATCAGACGAGTTAATGGCTATGATGACTTAGAACCTAGGAAGTTCCAGGTAAGTGTTGTTAAAGCTTTGCTATTAGTTTCATGAATTCTGATTGATTAATTGGTAGGACTGCCCGGGATAGTATTTTGAGACAGAGTCTAAGGCCAAGTGTGAGCTCAGCAGGAGAGCTCAGGATTTGGTCAGTAAGAGCTGCTATGGCCACTGATGTGGGAGGGGTTAGTGGCATTCGACTCTCATGGTTTAATCTATGTTTGGATTCTTAAGATCCAACTACAAGACCCAAGGGGCTGAATCCATTTTTCAATAGATATGGAGGCAACATTTGCAGAGTATGAAGAGTGGTCGGAAGACCCAATACCAGAGTCGGTAATTCAGAGCTATCACAAAGCGCTACAACAGCTGGAGAAATACAAACCTTACGAGGAAGCACTGGTAAGTGTTGGCTGCTTTTACAGTAAACTTCTCTCTATAAGCTTTTCCCTGATGGGTAGTTGCAAGTAAAACAGTTTCTTTAAAACTTGTTTTATTGTGAAATATATAGAGTGTATAAATGTATATTACAGTTTACATACTAATAATAAAGTGAACATCCATGTACCTACCACCCAGGTTAAGAAATAGAACATTGCCAGTACCTTAGAAGTCTCCTATGTGCCCCTCTCCGATTGCCTCCTCTTCCCTCTCCCGAGAGGTAATCACTTTCCTGACTTTTGTGATACTCATTCCCTTGCTTTTCTTTATAGTTTTACAACCTGTGAACGTATCCTTAATTAATATATTGTTTAAAGTTTGTTTCTTAACTTGTATATAGTGGAATCATGCTGTATATTTTTTATTCAACCTGATTTGGGGTTTTACTCATTGATAAGTATAGTTACAGCCCATTTGTTTTGCTATAAAGTTGTGTGTATAAACAATCTATCCATGTTCTTAGTGGGTTATTTCCAGTGTTCTGCTAGGAGCCACAGCGCTGCTTGGACATTGAACGTATCTCTTGGACATGGAAGAGAGCTTCTCTAAGTGTGTACCTAGGAATGGAACTGTTCTCCAGGTTGTCAGTTTACATGCCTCCAGCAGCACCTGAGATTCCTCCTTGCTTTTGTTACCTTGAATATTGACATACTTAAATTTAGCCAATCTGTTGAGTCTGAAACTGGTGTTCTAATGTGCACTTCCCTGATTACTAATGGGGTTGAGCATCTTTTCACATCGATTGGCCATTCAGATTTTCTTTTTGGTGAAGTGCCTCTGTGGTGAAAAGTCTTTGACACATTTTCCTTTTGGTTTATCTTTTTTTCTAATTGATTTGTGGGGGTGGGGGTCCTGGAACTTAAATCTTCCTTTCGATTGTAGGTATTGCAGAATCCCTCCCTCCCCACGTTTGTAGTTTATCTTCTTACTTGGCATCTTTTCATGACCAGTCTTTATTTTAAAGTACGTGGATTTATCATTCTCTTCCTTATCGTTTGTGCTTTTGCTAGGCTTAAGAAATCTCTCTATACTCCAAAGTCATTAATGTACTTAGCATTATTTTTTTCTGAAAGTTTATAATTTAATACTTTATCTTTAGGTCTCCATTTGGAGTTGATTTTTGTGTATAGTATGAAGCAGGGTCCAGTTTCATTTTTCCATATGGAGAACCAATTGTTTCTGCACTCACTCTCTTAATTCACTCTCCCCTCACGTATATGCATGTGCAGCCCCACATCTGTCACAGATTAGCTGTCCATGTACGTGTGGGTCTATTTCTGGCCTCTTTGTGCCATCCCACTGGATTACATTATATCTTTTTAAAAAAAATATATTTGTTTATTGATTTAAGAGAGGAAGGGGGGGAGAGAGAGAGAGAGAGAAACACATCCATGATGAGCGAGAATCATTGATTGGTTGCCTCCTGCACGGCCCCTACTGGGGATCAAGCCCGCAACCCAGGCATGTGCCCTTGGTCAGAATCGAACCTGGGACCCCTCAGTCCATAGGCCAATGCTCTGTTCACTGAGCCAAACTGGCTAGGGCACATTATATCTTTTTAAAGATTTTATTTTCTAATTGCCCCTGATATATAAAATGTAATTTGTTTTTAATTTTTAAATCTAACTTGCTAGATTCTTACTAATATTAATAATTTATGCCCTGGTGGGTAGCTCACTTGGTTAGGGCATCATCCTGATACACCAAGGTTGTGGGTTTGATAACTCTGGTCAGGGCACATACAAGAACCAACCAGTGAATGCATAAATAAGTGGAACAACAATCCATGTTTCTCTCGCTCTCTAAAAATTAGTAAATAAAATTAAAAATAATTGATGGATTCTTTCGGATTTTCTGTGTTGACAGTAGTTGTTTTTTTATACAATATTATTTGTAAGTGGCATTTTTTCCTCTTTCTTGGTCTTAGAATACTTTTAACTTCATTTACCGTTCCTCAGACTTAGTCTCTTGTGATCTTGTATTTCTTGCCTTTTTGTTTGATCTTCAGGCATCATTGTTAAGTTTGCATCATACAGTCTAGTTTGTTTACATTTACTGCATGCATGTCCCGCTTTCTGTCCTCTTCCTTCCTTCGTCCTAGATTTTCCATCTGGAATCACTTTCCTGTTGCCTGAAGTCTATCCTTTAGTCTCCCACACTGGACATTTGCAGATTTTCCAGATTTTTTAGGTTTTTGTTTGAAAAAGTTTAACTTTGTTGCTCTCCTTGAAAGTTAATTTCTCAGGATATAGAATTCTAGACTGACAGTTGTGTTCTCTCAGCAATTAAAGGTACCTTTCTGTCTTTGGCTTCTGTTGTTGAGACGTCAGCTGTCTAACTCTTGCTTCCTTGAAGGTAACCCTTATTTTTTCCTCTGTTTGGTTTTAATATCTCTCTGATTTGTGTGATGTCCTACAATTTCATTACCGTAGGTCCAGGTGTGAATATCTTTGTATTTATCCTGCTTTTGGTTTGCTGGGCTTCTTGGCTTTGATTTTGGTCTCTCTCATGGCCTAAAGAATACAGATATTGAGAGCCAGGCTACCTCCAGTTTGAATTTTAGCTCTGCCACTTAGTAGCTCTGATTTTGGGCTTGTACTTAGCCTCCTTGTGTTTCATTTGCCTTGAATAATTTGGGGATAGTAATGATACCTGCCTCATAGGATTGTTGTGAAGATCAAAGTCTTAATATATCTTAGGCCAGCAAAAGCTTAACCTTCACTTAACCACCTTCACTTAGACCTTGTCCTTAGTATTTCTTTACTAGTTTGTTGATGATTTTCAGGATGCTGTTTATATTTAGTCCAGCAGTGTTAGTAGTTTTCAATGGCACAGTGTGTCTGGGTCACTAGTTTGTCATTATTACTAGGAACTGCAGCTCCAAGACAGCTTCTTTCTATGTTTAGAACATGTGTGCTCTCTCGCTGGTCTGCATGTACTCCCTCTCTCTCTTTTACATGTAAATGATTTGTATGTAATTTATTTCACAAAGCCTCATTAATGACAACCTCAGCCAGTTCAGTTTTGTTTTGACTATCAGCAGAGTATGGCTGAAAAAAAAACAAGTCGAATAAGAGGGTTTTGTTCAAAAAGATTTTTGATTGGGTCAGTAAACATTCAGCATACCTCTTCCATCTTCTGCATGTACCTGTACTTGGCAGGAGCTGGTATTTGGAATGAGAAACCTGAAGTGTGGTTGCTTTCTTTTCTCCACTCAGTAGGCCATGAAAATAACTTCTGTTTTGGAAGGATGGCTTGCATCGGTTTTGGAAGGATGGCTTGCATCGGTCATTGACGAGGGTGCTTCTCCTTCATTCAGTTCCTGATTTAAATTCCCGGTAGAGGAGCGTTTGTAGCTAATGCAGTGACGGGGCACTTTTGTGGGCCCTGATGTGCAGAGGTTCTGAGCGGGGATTGGTGGTTCTTGGAGTAGCCAGTCTCAGCAGAGTTGAATATGAAGATGTGTTGTGCTTCCTGACAGTATCGAGCAGCTCATTTCAACTTCTTTGCCGTTCTCCTTTGTCCAGTTGGAAGCAGAGGCTCCCAGGCTGGCCGAATATCAAGCATACATCGATTTTGAGATGAAAATCGGCGATCCTGCTCGCATTCAGTTGATCTTTGAGCGTGCCCTGGTTGAGAACTGCCTGGTTCCAGACTTATGGATCCGTTACAGTCAGTACCTAGTAAGATAACTATTCCAATTTCATTTTATTTTTACCAATTTGGGATCTATCTAAAGAAAACCAATAAGTGCTCAGAGTTAGTTGTATGCTGCTCATCTCTGTTCTCCTAATTTATCCTTCATCCTCCTTCCGTTTGTCAGGTCACTTAGGAAGTCCTCCGAGTCTTTTAGGATTACATAGTCTTACTATTGAAAACTTTATAACAGATTAAATTTTTTAAAAAAATTTTAACCTTTTATTATGGAAAAATGTAATCACATAAATGTAGACAGAGTAGTAAAATGCAACCTTATGTACCCATCACCAGCTTCAACAGTGACCTAATGGCATTAATGTAGTTTCATCTGTAACCTTACCTACTTTCCCCATTCCATGTTGTTTTATATTAAAGCCAGAAATCACATTTCCTTGGTAAATATTTCAGTATGTATGTACAACAGATTTGAATCAGGATCCAAACTAGATCTATACATTATGATTGGACATTTAATCTGTAGGTTACCCTCTCCACCTCTCTTCTCTCTCTCTCTCCTTTTGTAATTTCTTTGTTGAAGAAATCAGTCACAAGAGACATTTCTAAGGAAATTTCTTTTGTCAGTTGGTGGTTCTGGAAATGTCTTGTGGATGGTGAACTTTAAACCATAAATTTTTATCTCCTAACCCTGGAATTCTTTGTCATAGGACCGGCAGCTGAAAGTAAAGGACTTGGTTTTATCTGTACATAATCGTGCTGTTAGAAACTGCCCCTGGACAGTTGCCCTGTGGAGCCGGTACCTCTTGGCCATGGAAAGACACGGAGTTGACCATCACGTGATTGTTGGTGCGAATGTTTCTCTTGGAAGCCTTCAAAGCTTTTTGTCCCAAGTCAGAGCTAGAGTTCTGAGGAATCATTGAATCAGCATTCCCCAGGGTGTTCCTTTGGGAGAGTGGGTAGTAGTGACAAAAAGGGCTCTAAGTGGGAGGTAAACTGGTTGTATTTTTGACTTCTTAGAGCTTTTTAACATGCTAATGTTTATTGTGATCTTCCAGGAGTCTTTTCTCCAAACTTACTTGACCGGGAACTCTTACTGCCTTTTCTAGACACAGCGTGTGCCTTGCCGCAGTAGCTCTCCTTTTGAACATTTCTTTCTAGCTCATTGCATCTTATTATGATGTTGAATCATATAGTATTTTATAGTCAGTAAAGGTTTTTATAATAATCTTGATAACTTTATATTTGTTTCTTTTTTAATTGGCCACAAACCCTGTCTTTTTCTTCACCTCCAGTGACCTTCGAGAAAGCTTTGAGTGCTGGCTTCATTCAGGCCACGGACTATGTGGAGATTTGGCAAGCATACCTTGATTACCTGAGGAGAAGGGTTGATTTCAAACAAGGTATTTAAGTTCCTGTGCTTTATATCAGAACTGGTTTTTCTTAATATATCTTTTGGTGAGATGTTCTAGTTGCCCAAATACATTGTGATTGGGCAAATGTTATAGACCAGCCATTGGTAACCGCCCACCCCCCACCCCGAAGCTTTAGCGGCTTAAGTCTTTAACAAGTCATGCTGTGAATTGTAAAGGAAGGGAGTAATGGTCCTTAGGTTTTATGCTGGCTTTTGCTAGCTTCTGTCTCATTTTGTATTATTCTCTTCCCTCTCTTCTGTATGTCCGAAATAGTTCTCTAAGTAAGACTGCTGTTTCTATTAAATCTTTAAACCTCTGCAGGACTCCCTTTTCTTTCTCCTTTCCCCTCAAAGAGAATAGCAGCCAGAACTCCCTGTCTAACTTGTTCTTGCACGTGACCTTCAGCCATTCTGCTGGCTGGGGGAGACCCCACACGGCACCCCGTGCTCACCATTGTCACTGTACTGCCCGTGCTGTGCTCTGCTCCAGTGTCTCTTTCCCACTGGGTGATGAGGGCGGGGGCTGGCAATTTCACTTCTGTGTCCCCAGCATGATGCCAGGTGCTTAAACAGGCCCGTGGGAGTTTCAGTGTGCGACAAAAAGAAGATGTGGTATGTGGTTTCATTAAGCAGACCTCTTGCTTCCAGACTCCAGTAAAGAGCTGGAAGAGTTGCGGTCCGCCTTCACTCGTGCTTTGGAGTATCTGAAACAGGAGGTGGAAGAACGTAAGTGTGGCTCCGACCCCCTGCTTTGTCCAGTTGTATTTCTTGCTCTGGATTGAGGTGCCTTTTCAGGCAAAGGCTCTTGGTCTCTAAATTACTTTCTGATTTTGATTAATTCTATTTTTAAAGGTTTCAATGAGAGTGGGGATCCAAGCTGCATGATCATGCAGAACTGGGCCAGGATCGAGGTAAATGTCTTTTGTTAAATCTGTGGGTTTCATCCGCCTTTGAAGGGCCTTTGTCTACTAGTGTGGCTGAATTTGAGTCAGAATCCCAGCTGATGGTCTAGGCCAGTGGTTGGCAAACTGCGGCTCACGAGCCACATGCGGCTCTTTGGCCCCTTGAGTGTGGCTCTTCCACAAAATATCGACTTCTGCGCATGGGCCACGAAGTTTCAGTCGCACTGTACGTGTGTACCCGCACATGGTATTTTGTGGAAGAGCCACACTCAAGGGGCTAAAGAGCCATATGTGGCTCACGAGCCGCAGTTGGCCGACCACTGGTCTAGGGTCTGTAGAGACCTGTGCTGTTTACCTAGCTTGGTGCACATTTGTTTATATCTTAGTGAAAATATTAGCTCCAAGGAAGAAGATGTGCAGCAAAGTCTGAATGCCAGGCATTCACTCATGTACTTCTCTCGCTTGCCCAGTGTCTCATTCATGAGAGCGTATCAAGTGGGCACTGTTTGCCCAGGCACTTGACTGGGTGCTGGGGAAATGAGGTAGCATGGTTCCCTGCACTGGTAAGATTTCATCTAGTGTGGAAGACAGGCGATTTGACGAATAATCACAGGGTATCGTGAGTTGAGTGTTATTATTGGACCAAGGACCCCAAGGGGAGTAGGACATGGAACCTGCCCTGATCATCAGCTCACAGAATTGTAAAATTCCAATATTTTATTCTCTGAGGGAGTCAGGCCAAAGAAACACTTACCGGGTAGTTTCTGGATGGGTGTTTGTGTTACCATTTTCAAGATGAGGCACCTGAGGTTCAGAGAGATTAAGCAACTTGCCCAAGTCACTTAGTAAGTGGGGGAGCTGGCATTTGCTTCTAGATTAAACTTTCTTTCTCAACACTGCCTCTCAGATTAACCCCTTATAGTTAAGTTTGATAAAAATAAAAAATAAGCGACTAGTCGGTCCTGTTGTGCCCATGGGCTCCCACTCTTTGTTCTCAACAAGAGGCCTAGGCAGACACCTTGAGGCTTGTCACTGCGGAAAGGCTGACGTGGTTGCCTGGGCCTGTTACCATGGAGGGCGGCCTAGGGAATGTCAGGGATTTATGTCAGTGATCATTAGGGGATGGCTTTTTAGGCATGTCTGTCTGAAGTCTGTTTGGAAGGGGTGTTGGTGTCATAGGTCCAGGTGCTTTCCTAACGGCCTTGTCATGCATCTTAGGCTCGACTGTGTAATAACATGCAGAAAGCTCGGGAGCTCTGGGACAGCATCATGACCAAAGGAAACGCCAAGTATGCCAACATGTGGCTCGAGTATTACAACCTGGAAAGGTAACGAACTGGGTGGGGTGACGGTGCGTTGTCAGGAGTAACTTGTCTTTAGTCCCGGCTGACCTCGGCTGGCTTGGGCTTGCTCCTTGCAATGGGCCACTGCCTGCCTTCATTGCTCTTTCTTTAATGGGCCGGGCTAGAGAACCTAGCACATAGTATTTTGTGTCTGGGCTGTTATAGCTATGTGTTTCTTTTAAATTTTGGTGTTTTTTTTTCTTTTTTTTGGTTGGTTTGTTTTGATTTTTGGACATGAATATTTTATTTGACTTTTTGGGGAGCTATTTATTTTTATTATATCTGTTTTGTATAAAAAGTATAAAATACTAAAAAGCACAGAAGGAAAAAACCCAAATTATTTACAATTATGGACCCAGTAGTAACCACTATTAGTTAATTGTTTGGGTATATTCTTCGAGACTTTTCTGTTTAAAAAATGAAAATGCAATTGTAGTGCACCTGTTACAAACCTCTAAAATGACTTTACAGAAATAAGGTATGCCCAGTAATATTGATAACATGGGGAGGACATAAAGAATATGACCAGCTTTGTTCTTCAGTAGATCTTGAACATAGAAGTGAAAGTTTCCTATATTCCCACCCCCAGAGATGACACTATTAAAGCTTGTTGAATTTTCCTTCAGGTCAGAGGTTCTCAAACTTTGGATTTAGAACCCGTTGGCACTCTAAAAGTTTGAGGAGCCTCCCTCCCTGAAGCTTTTGTTTATGTGAGTTATCTAGGACTCTAATATTTACCACATTAGAACGTGAAAACGGTGTTCCATGAAGAAACTAGATTAGATTGCACCCAGACACCAACAGTGTTTTCTTTGCTACAACATTGTACTTGGGTACAGAGGAGAGCTTTCTGTGGAGGGTGCTGGAGCCGGAGCTGCTGGTCCTGTGGCTCTAACCGTGAGAAGCTGCCCCTCCCTCCTCGTGTGCCTTCTGCTTCTGTCCTGGTAGCAGCTGTTTGCTTTCTGCCCTAGGGCACACGGCGACACCCAGCACTGCAGGAAGGCTCTGCACCGGGCCGTCCAGTGCACCAGTGACTACCCAGAGCACGTCTGTGAAGTGCTGCTCACCATGGAGAGGACAGAAGGTAGGACCCTCGGCTCTGCTTCTGGCTTGGAGTCTGTAAGGACAGACTGTGCACGGCTACCCCTTGAGTGACGTGACTGTCACAGGGCGCTCCCCATGAGATCGAATTCTCTGAGATCTCCAGATCCAAGGAGGGCCCTGCATTGTATAGTTCTAGCGTGGGTTTTCAGAATTCTTTGTAGGATCCTGTGCATCCTAGCGTCTTCAGCAGCATCCCTGGCCTCTCTGCCCACTAGTTGCCAGCACACCTCCCTGCCCCCAGTCGTGACAATAAAAAATGACTCCAGTTGATCCCTGGGGTCAGGATCACTCCAGTTGAGACCCTCTGCTCCAGCATGTCATGCACGCCAAAGGAGCAGAGGCAAATGAGTAATGTGTGCATCACCTGCGAAGTTTAGAGCCTCAATATTGTGTCCAGTAGGAAAATAGAGAATTTATCCCTGGGCAGTGGTCTGGATTTTGGGTGGGAATCCCTCAGAACTTGAAATGAAACATCCAAACAACAAATGACAAAACACTTCAACATTTATCATTTGAGATGCTCAACTGTCTTAATATGTCTTATACCTTTTACATTGGAATGTTTTCATAATCTTTGCCAGGGAGCACCCGTAATAGATCATATTCTGGTTTTCAAGTCTCTCCTGAAAATGAAGGGATGTTTTAATCACACCTTGGAAGGACTATTGGAATTCGAAAACTTTCAGTGAAATCACCTTAAAATGGGGAGCTGACTCTCTGAGGGGAGAGCTCTCCTGAGGGTGGGGAAATTAAGAAAAGCTTCCCAAACCCAAAAACAGAAAGTTTGCTTCTTTTTCTATCAAGGTACTTTAGAAGATTGGGATATAGCCGTCCAGAAAACCGAAACTCGATTAGCCCGTGTTAATGAGCAGAGAATGAAGGTAATGATGCTGTTTATATGAAGTCTTGGGATCCTCTGATCACTGTTTTGACCTTGTTTGCGATATTTTTTGTCAAAACCTTTGAGGTCTTTCTAAAACGTGTCTTTTGCTTAGAAAGTATTTATTATGACATAGTTGAATCAATATTTAAACCAGTCTTTTGTTATTTTTTAGAACAGCTTTAAACTTTAGCCCCAGCAGTAAATACTATTTTATGTAGTAGGGGAATTTTGGCCCTAAAATTTACTAGAATAGAGGAACAAACAGGAAGAACCTCTTAGCCTAGTGGTTGGAATATGAACACCCCCAAGTTAATTAGGGCCCCAGTTTCTTAGATTCTTTTCTTTCTCTTGGTGAATAATTACTGGGGCTATTGTGAGAAATACTGTGGATTTGAGAGAGGAATCCTGAGAGGCCAGAAAAGCCCTGGCAGGGAAAGTTGTGAGCACATTTTCCATGATCTCGTCCGTTCACTGGGTATGAATCCCACTCCCTGGCCCCTTCCGTCCGTTCTCATTACAAGGCGGTGGAGTGTGTGTCACTGCTGCGTCCAGTGATGCATCATATGCCCCTTTTCCAGGCTGCGGAGAAGGAAGCCACCCTCGCCCAGCAGGAAGAGGAGAAGGCTGAGCACCGGAAGAGGGCCCGGGCTGAGAAGAAAGCGCTGAAAAAGAAAGTAGCCAGAGGCGCGGACAAGCGCAAAGCAGATGATGCCGAGAAAGAGTGGGGCGGCGGCGACGAAGAAGGTAAAGCTTTTCAGAAATTTTGTTTTGGAACAACTCAACCTTCCAGAGAAGTTGCAAAAAACCCCCCAAAACAGTACAAAGAACTTTTTTTCTTGAACCATTTGAGAACAGGTGCTGGCAGACACCCATCACCCTTCCTGTCTCTGCCTACCTCTGTGCCAGGTACTGCCCTGCAAGGGAGCTGCGCTCTACTGCCTACACTGTGCTGTTGCCTCCACTGCCCTCCTCTGTGGTGCCGTCCTCACCCCACGGGCTCCCGTACCCCAAGCTGTCCCTGTCCCATGTGTTGACATCCCCTTCTTCCCGCCCAGGGTGCAGTATCCCGTACCATTGCCTAGCCCAGTGGTCGGCAAACTGTGGCCCCTTGAGTGTGGCTCTTCCACAAAATACCACGTGCGGGCGCGCACGTACAGTGCGATTGAAACTTCGTGGCCACACTCAAGGGGCCAAAGAGCCGCATGTGGCTCGCGAGCCGCAGCTTCCCGACCACTGGCCTAGCCCACTGCACAGACACCTGCTTTCTTGCCCCCACCTATGGTTTTGAGTTTCAACCAGTGTTTCTGTCAGCCATGCCACTTCAGGAATGGGCAGGTGTGGGTCAGATTTATTTCAGCAAAGTCAGTCAAGGTAAAGAATTGTCTCCAGACATTAAGGAACTCTGTTCATTTTCCTGGTACAAAGCTGTCAGCCAGAGGGACATGGGAATGGAGCCATCATTCAGTTGACCTTTCTTGCACACCTTTTTGGGGCCTTCAGAAATGACCACAGTAGCTCATTGCCCCTCAGAGCTCCTGGTTTAGCAGATAAGGCAAACGTGCCATGTGACTGCGGTGGTGTGTAGTCAGGACTGTGGCAGGTTAGATGTGAATTATGGTGGAAGTCAAAGAAGGCAGGAGTGGGTCAGCTCCTGCAAGAAAGAGTTCATGAGAGTGATGTGTGCACCTTGGCATCGGGGAGGAGTGAGTGACTGTTGAGTGGGAAAGAAGGGAAGCCAGACAGAGCTGGTGTCAGCACGAGGCACAAAACAGCCTGGCATTCTCTCTGAGCAGCAAATGACTGGGTGTGTGCCCCGATGCATGCTGGGGGCCAGGTGCATGGGTGGTGAGCTGCAGCAGCAGCCAGGCCAGCTGGCTGGGCCCCACTCAGGGATGCTCTTGAATATAGTGTGCAGGATTAGCCTTCATCAGGAAGCAGTGGGAACTTGGTGGAAGGGTCTGGAAGTGGGGGTCCAATGCCAAATGGGTTTCAGTGTTGCGCCTCTGGAGAAAGCGGGGAGATGGGTTGGAGTAGAATATTGTCTAACTCTCTTGAAGGACACAAGACAATAGTAAACCCTTTGTAGAGCTTTCCAGTGTGGCCATGTGAAGCACACACTTCAGAGTCACCTAAGTGCTTGTTTAAACGCAGGTCCCCAAGCCTTATCCTTGCTGACCTGAGCCTTAAGGGAGAGGGGCCTTGGATTGGCCAGCTGCACTTTTCAGACCCCCTGACCTTTTCTATAACTAAGTAGACAGTGAGGACTTACTGTTTCTACTTGAGTTAGCCCACTCATCCGCCTGTCATCAGAGTCCAGAACGTGGTGGGCCAAGCCTGTGGGCCAAGATGGACGTGGCAGGTGTGGTGCTTGCAGGTCAGCGGGGAGGAGTGTTGGTCACGTGCCGCTGCTGCAGACTGGCTGTCTGCAGTGGGAAGAGCGCGTACATGGACCGGCTCAGTGAAGGGAGGAAAGTTAATTGTTGCTGCTTTTCTCCCGACAACCTGTAGAGCAGCCTTCCAAGCGCAGAAAGCTGGAGAACAGCGTTCCTGCAGCTGCAGAAGAAGCACCAGACCTGGAAGAGGAAATGGGGCTCTTTGGGAAAAGCGCATCTGCAGACGTCACCCCCCCCTCAAAGCAGAAGGAGAGGGCCGCCGCCGCCCTGAAGAGGGACGTGCCCAAGGTGCCCCACGACAGCAGCAAGGACAGCGTCACCGTCTTCGTCAGCAACCTGCCCTACAGCATGGAGGAGCCAGACGTGAAGCTGCGGCCGCTCTTTGAGGCCTGTGGGGAAGTGGTCGAGGTCCGCCCCATCTTCAGCAACCGGGGCGATTTCCGAGGCTACTGCTACGTGGAGTTCAAGGAGGAGAAGTCGGCCCTGCAGGCGCTGCAGTTGGACCGGAAGAATGTAGGCGGGAGGCCAATGTTTGTTTCCCCCTGTGTGGATAAGAGCAAAAATCCTGACTTTAAGGTATGTTTGTGGGAAAAAGAATGGCTTTCATGCAGGGTTGCTATAGACTGACTAAACATTGTTTTTTGGTGCAACAATTAATATTCCAATCATACATGGAATAACTATACTGTTCTGAGCTGGTTAATTAAGGTCTGATTCATGGCTCAGTCACTTGGAGCTTGCATTAGCTGATACATGATCATAAAATGAGGAATTGTAATAATGGCGATGGTCCAGTGAGTGCATAGGAGTGACAAGGGACTGTGCTAAATGTTTTATGTATTACCTTAGGGCAGCAGTTCTCAACCTGTGGGTTGCGACCCCTTTGGGGGTCGAATGACACTTTCACAGGGGTCGCCTAAGATCATCGGAAAACACATTAAATATATAATTACATATTGTTTTTGTAATTACTATGCTTTATGTTCAATTTGTAACAATGAAAATATATCCTGCATATCAGATATTTACATGACAATTCATAACAGTAGCAAAATTACAGTTATGAAGTAGCAACGAAAATAATTTTATGGTTGGGGGTCACCACAACATGAGGAACTGTATTAAAGGGTCGTGGCATTAGGAAGGTTGAGAACCACTGCCTTAGGGGATCCCCACCCAAACTCTGAGAATAGCTCCTTTCATTGTTGCCATTCTATAGAGGAGGGAAGTGGTGAGTGACATGCCCAGTTAGCCATTCCCAGCACCCAGCGTCGGCTCGGGCCTGCCCGGCTGGGCCTGCCGGAGAGTGGCCAGTGTGCTGGGCTGGGCTTCTAATTGTTGGTTTTCCCCCTCCTTCCTTCCTAGGTGTTCAGGTACAGCACTGCCCTGGAGAAGCACAAGCTGTTTATCTCAGGCCTACCCTTTTCCTGCACTAAAGAGGAACTTGAAGAGATCTGTAAGGCTCATGGCACCGTGAAGGACATCAGGCTGGTTACCAACCGGGCTGGCAAACCAAAGGTCAGTGTCGGAGTACACGGTCAGCACACCGCCTTCCAGGCTTGGATGAAGCCAGTTCTGCGTCTGTGCAGAGATCACTGGGGTCTAGAGTGGGTTCCTAGTTTGTCTGCTGAGAAACAAATGACACGTGAAGGATAGGTACATTAGGCTCTGCTTGCATTTGGAGTCTGTATCTAGTTGTACTAAAAATATAAGGCATTGAAAAACACTCGAATTCGCAGAGGAGCACATGAATTCCAGACTGTGGGGCCTTGGGGTGAGGGGCTGCTCTCTGCAGTCTCCTTCCTGCCCGGACTCAGCCTCCAGCCATTTCCTCAGCTCCCTCCACCCCCTTCTAGTCGCTTATTAAATCCTCTGCACCACATTTTGAGTAGTGGACCCATGTTGTTTAAGCATGAGTTTGTATTACCTTTCTTCTCTGCCCCCTCCCCTGCCGCCCCCATCCAGGTTAATCAAGAGTTAAAAAGTAAGAAATAAGGAGGGCACACAGGCAGGCATTAGGCACACCTGGGCTGCTCCCTGGGCTGGGCCACCTCAGCCGATAGCTGGATTTACACTGGTCTGTCCGTCTTTTTCTTTCTTTTGCTGGAGCTACCGACCTTACAAAGGTTATTGAAGTTACACAGTTACAGAAGTGGAAAGAGTAGGGCAGGGAATAAACCTGTAGACAAAGAATGGCAGTGGTGGGGTAGGTCGCCTGTTGATGGGGTACCTGTCCTGACCTGACCCCCCAACCTCGGAGGAAGTTGCGTCCTGGCTCCCCAGCACCTGACCCGGCTCTGGCCTCTTTCAGGGCCTGGCCTACGTGGAATACGAAAATGAATCCCAGGCATCGCAGGCTGTCATGAAGATGGATGGCATGACTATCAAAGAGAATGTCATCAAAGTGGCCATCAGCAACCCCCCTCAGAGGAAAGTTCCAGAGAAGCCAGAAGCAAGGAAAGCACCAGGTGGCCCCAACGTCCCCCGGCAGATATATGGAGCGTAAGTGTTTGCATGCTAGCCAGTGCAGGCTTTGTCCCGTCATACCCGGATGGATTGGTTTCCTGTTAGCACAGCACGTTAGGACAGCCAGGGCCTGCTGTCCACTGTAGTCCTGGAGCAGGGTGTCCAGAGCATGTCCCTGCAGCGCAACCCTTCCTGGTGTTTGCCAATTACACTTGTGATTTATTTAAAGTCCTCTTTGCCAGTTGAATGCATGTGTTTAAACACAGCCTGACAACCAGATGCTGGCCAGGGTCATCTACAGATCAACCAGGGCCACAAGTTATTACTTTGAAGGTACATTCAGTGTCTGCTCTTCCAGGCGGGGGAAGGGAAGGACCCAGCTCTCTCTGCTGCCTCGCGCCCTGCACCGCCCCAGCGCTACCGGAGCTCAGGCCGAGAATGGCCCTGCCCTGAAGCCAGCGGTCACCACCTCAGAGGCCACTGAGGCTCCCAAGATGTCCAATGCTGATTTTGCCAAGCTGCTTCTGAGAAAGTGAACGGGACTCAGAGAAGGGAGATGCCTTACTTCATGCTGGCCGGGAGGACACCACCTCCCAGCTGTACCCGGGTACGGAAGGGCCCAAGGCAGCGCGGTTTCCCCTGGTGTAGACAGAAAGGGAACGGGTGTCCGAGCAGAGAGGCTTCACATGTTCCCTCACATTGAGGGTGACAGCAGGAAAACAGTCACTCCATGGCTGGGCACCAGGTATAGTTTCTAAGGTATTTTTTGTCTTTAAGAGAAATGGGAGTGAAACTTGGACACACCATTTTGAGACACACTTGTCCAACTGTTTCAGCCAACTCAGGCCCCTTATAAGACACTTCTCTTACACTCTGTATAGTCCATATGCCCGTCACTCTTTTAATTTTTAAAAGACAAAACGGCAAATGCTAGTAATTCACCAGAATGGCCTATTTTAGTAAAGGGGTGGGGATAGGGCCAGTCACCTAAAAAATATTTGATGGGTTTTTGTTTTAGGGGGCTGTGTGTTTTTATATTATGTATTTGTAAATGACATGTCAACCCATTGTTTTATGTTTCCTCAAAGCAAAATATCTGACTTGTTTTCTATAGGAATTCTGTGTGCCACCTGCTGTGGACCATTTTCTTTGCCTAGTGAATAGTGGACTGTGTTGTTCTTTGTCTAAATATTGAGTTTCAGCCCTTGGGTTTTGTTTAAATACCATGTCAAGTGCGGACTTAAATTTTCCTCATTTAGCTTTGTTTATTAAACTGAAGTTCTGTTAAGAACCTCTCACAGAATGGTACTCTGCTGTGCATTCAAATATGGGTGTGTTTTGAAATTTGTGTACCTTGCTTTACCTAACAGATGTGTAAGTAGAACTTTTAAGTCAAAGTGACTATGGGATTTGACTTACAAATCTTTTCAGCTGTGATGTGTCTTCAGCTTTAAACTTCATAAAGAATAGGGCTGAAGTCCTGACACAATCCCTCCTGCATCCTTCTGACAAATGGGACCATTTCTTGAAAAAGAACAAAGTCGTCTCAGGCATTTATTTAATACAATAAAATACTTTATTAGAATCAGTTATTTGTTAAAATAATATCCTTCACATATAGCTAAAGTGCCAATTTCTATAGTAAAAGCAAGCACTTCCATCAGGCTTCCTTGGTGAGCTTATAAAATCAAGACGGTAGATTTAAGGTTAAGAAATAACTTATGGCAGCATACAAGTATGAAAATATTTTTATAAAGGTCTGAATAACTATCACCTTGGGGCCATGTCATACATCTTTATACTTATTTTCCAGAAAACCATTCTGAATGTGCTTGTTAAACAATTAAATAACTATAAACTAAACACTTGCTACATAAGAGCAGTGCCCTCATTACTACCAGGATCTAAATTCTCAAATCAGAGACAACATTATGTTCTCACCGACATTCAAAGTGCAGCACAGGGTTAGACATCATGGCTCTGCCCCTGGAACGGGAAGCAGAGGTTTCTGGCCATTCTCACTAAATAGCAGCAGTTTTATTGGCACCTGGGCTGTATGTGATTGAAAGAGAAGATTCTACTTCATAGAATGACAGCTTGCCCATATGACATAAAACACAGTTGTTAGGCAAGTAGGGCCACTCCAAGGCAATCTATTCTGCTTCTCCCAGGGGGATGCGGGGCGTACGGGGGCTGTGGGAGGTGGGGGCAGGTGAACAAGTGCTGTGGTCAAAGGGTTTTTGTGGTTTAGCACAAACTGGTGCTCTAATTCACTATCAAGATGCTTTTTTGGTGTTGATAGTTAAACTCAGTGGGGGGTGAGGGCAGGCTCGCCCGACTGCACAATACCTGGTTGGCAGCAGGATTCAGCTGTTTGGTGAAAGCCCAGGGAACTTTCAGACTAACACATCTGGTCTGAGTTGCTGCAAATGAAGTGAGAGAAACATCAACAGAAAAACCAGGGTGGCCTTCCCCTATTAATTAGAAAAACAGCCTGACACTAGAGTTTGCAAACTATGGCTCTTCCCTGAAATAAGGTACCGAACTAGAAATGTCAACACTCGTTGCTTTCATTTTGTATCTCAGAAGTTCGCCCTGCCAGTAAGAATTAGTCACAACACTAATCTTTGTAGGGAAGCAAACACCTCTGAGCAAGCAAGCTTTCAATCATTTCTCAAAATTGGGGCCAGGTTTTCCCCGGGAGTGCTGACCTCCAGGCAGTCACAGAGCCTTCCAGCCAGTCTCCGAGGAAGACCCGGCGGACTCGTCCTATGTCTCTGGACCTCGCCCCAGTGTTGGCCTCTCCTTACCTTAGTGCAAATTCTGCTCCAGTACTGGTCTGGTCATGCAAGGAGCACTGGTGCCCCAATGCCTGCTGGGACCACCACAAGAATGGGCCACCAGCACAGATGGCAGACACATTTACTGGCTCAAAAGAAAAAAATAAATAACTTGGCTGAATTATAAGTTATCTTAGAGACAAGGCTTAATAACTTAGTTATTTTCTTTAAAAAAACCATTTGGAGGTAAAGAACGTTTAAGTTCCTTATCTGTTTCCTTTTGTTTTGGAGACGACAAGGTTTCTAGAAATGTTAAGTTTTGATTTTTTTTCTCCCCCTGGAAACCTCCTGTCACCAAGGGAAGATGTAGAGGGTTAAGGTTTCACAGGTAGCGTCTCCTTGAACCCAGAGTGATTGGGTTTGGCCTCTGGCAGTGCCACTGGGTACTCTGTTGTGGCAAAGAGCAGGGTGTCCAGGGTGGTCTCCGTACACTTGGCAATGAAGCGAATGAATGGCCTCACGTCGCCTTCATTGGCGACTTCCAGTACGTGGTAGTACTCAGATCTCTGCTCCTTGCGGATGGTGATGGGTGGGTAGCCCGCCTGCATTAGGATGAGGTTCATCAGCAGGCGTGAGGTCCTTCCATTGCCGTCAATGAACGGGTGGATGTAAACGAGTTTATAATGGGCCAAGGCTGCAAACTCCACTGGGTGCAGATTCATGGCGTCCTCGGAGTTGAGCCACTGGATGAACTCCTGCATCTGCTTTTCCACATCTTGAGGATGGGGAGGGATGTGGTGTCCCACAAGGACCTGTGTTGTCCGAAACCTACCGGCTTCCACGGGATCCACATAACCCAGCACGCGCCTGTGGATCTCCAGTATGTCGCTGATGGTGACGGACCCCATGCGGGAGACCAGTGTGGTGTTGATGTACTTCATTGCCGCGTGCATGCCAATGACCTCGTTCTGCTCCTCCAGGCTTTTCCCCGGCACCGCATAGCGGGTCTCCAGGATGTGCCTGATTTCCGAGAGGGTGAGGGTGTTGCCCTCGATGGCAACCGTGTGGTAGATGTGATGGTAGTACGTTTCCTCCATGACCCTCTGCAGCGCGGAGCTGCCCTTGGGGATGGACATGACCTTCCTCACTTTGTCGTCGATGATGCTGAAGTACCTCTGGTCGATCTCCTCCACCAGCGGCAGCGTCCGGTCCCGGCTGATGAGCGCTTTCTCGTGGTAGGGCGAGATGGTCAACGCCCTGGTGTACAAGTAGTCTGCCTGGATGATGTCCTTTTCCTCTTCTGAGAAGATGCCGAACTCGGTGAGCGCGTCCACCGAGTCTGGGTCCATGCTCAGGGCGTGCAGGAAGAGCTTGTGGGCCTTCTTCCGCTTGCCCTGGCGTTTCATTTCCAGGGCTTGGTGCAGAGCTGCTTTGGCTTCCAACCTAGCGGCTAGAAAAGAGCCAAAGAAGCATTATCAGGGAGGGCAGGGAGTGGCCAAGGACATGGAGGTGACCTGTCAGGGGAAGGCATGGCCTTGGGGTTGTTCTAGGCAGGCTGCTCATGCCCAGGACCACTGCACGTAATGGACCACTGCATGTATGGATGTGGTGGTTTTCCACTTGGCCCCCTGCCTTCCAACTGCCATATTGAGTGGCTGTGATCCTGGGGCCACAACTCCCATCATTGGGCCCTCCCTGCATCTTCTCCAGCTCTTGGCTGTTCTGGTGATCCATCTGATGGTGCCTCTGCCTCTAGGCCAGGCTGGGAATAACTTCCCACTGGTGATAGCTCCCTAGGCCTCCCCATTCCTGGGCCCTTAACTTTAATTCCTTTAATCTGCAGCCACACCTGCTTGACATCTAGTCTTCCTTCCACCGTCCCCCAACGCCCCACTCCCCACCCTCCTGAAACCCAGTATCAGTATCAGCCACACACACTGGGCTTCTTTTAGTTCCTCAAGTGCCCCAGGCTCTCCTGCCCCAGGCTCTCCTACCCTCTGGTCTCTGCTGGAGCACGCTCCCCTCAACTGTTCCACTGGGTCACTCCTGCTTACACTTGGTCTCAGCTTAGGCACCCCCTCCTCCAGGGAGCCTTCCTGGTGTGCTCCTGTGACCCCTTCGCTCCCCCATCACCACATGGTGGCCCTGTACCTGTCACCTGTCTGCTTATATAGGCTGGGAGGTCAGGGCTGACTTCTTCACTGTAATACCCATGCCCTGCCCACAGGACATAGTAGACACTAAACATCTATCCCAGTGGTTCTCAACCTTGGCTGCACATTAGAATCACCTGGGAATCTTTTTAAAATCCTGATTTCTGGGCCTCAGAAGAGAGTAATGTCAGTATCATGGGGAAGTGAGACGGCCCCATTGCTTCTCCCGTATAATGTACAAAAAAACCACTGTAACTCAACAAAGGATCACCCGCTCAACACACAAATGCACCTAAAAGATCCACGCACAGGAACATCTGAGGATGGGAAGTAGGGGAGGTGGGACAGAGGAAGGACAGGGATGGAGACGAAGTTCAGTGTTCATTGTGGCTCCAGCGAGTGAGGGAGGTAGAGATGGAGAAGTGTGTGCAGCCTGCAGTGTAAGGGGCAGGGCAGGTTCCCTCCAGGAAAGGACATCTCCCTTCCCCGCTCCCTGTCTAGGCTAAGCCAGGTAGAGGCAGCTGGGAAGTCTTAACACAGTGGTGCCCAGAGCCTCTGCCGCGGGTGGGGGGGGGGGGGGCGAGCTGTGAGGCCGCAAACGTGTCTCCCCTGCCCCAGACACCCTGGCAGAACCCGGGAAAGGAAGCTGGGGAATGAAAGTCCGGCATCCCAACAATTTGGGGATGAGGCAGAAGTGCAGAGCGGCCGTCATCTACACAGCGTGGCACTGGCAGGAAAACACAGACCAATGGAGCCGGATTGAGAGTCCAGAAATAAGCCACACATACAGGGTATCCCCCCCAAATATATACACACAACGTTTGTGATTCCATTACACTTTGAAAATGAAATGTGTTTTCATAAACACTGCCTTTATAATTATTCCAAGTGTGTATGCATTTTTGGGGGAATGATATATATATATAAACTAATTTTTGTAAAAGGAGCCAAAACATACACTGGAGGGAAGGAAAGTCTCTTCAATAAATGACACTGGGAAGACTAGAAAGCCACATGCCAAAGAATGAAACTGCTATCTGAGACCATACACAAAACGTAACTAAAGTGGATTAAAGACCTGAATATAAGACCTGAAACAATAAAATACAGTCAAACCTCAGTTCTCGAATGTCTCTCATCTCGAATAATTTGGTTTCCAACCAGTTCACAGAAAAAGTCTTGGTTGTTGACCAAAACTTCAGTTTTCTACCTGACAACCCTTTCATGCTGATACCTCAGCATGACAAAAAGCATCTCTTAAGCAACAAAGGAGAGAATGCTTTGTTGCTGGCGAAATGGACAGTTAGCACAATTTCAAAACATAAAGAGGCCATCAACAGGGCTAATGTGTGAAAGTGCTCACAAAACAATCAGGCAATTGAATAGGTAGAAA